TGCGAGGCCCACAGCCCAGCAGGCAGACAGACGAGCAGGCAGACAGACGAGCAGGCAGACAGACGAGCAGGCAGACAGACGAGCAGACAGACAGACGAGCAGGCAGACAGACGAGCAGGCACACACAGACGAGCAGGCAGACACAGACGAGTAGGCAGACACAGACGAGCAGGCAGGCAGACAGACAGACAGACAGGGAGGCTGACAGACAGACAGGGAGGCAGTCAGAGGAGGAGCAGGACTTGCTAGTCTGGCAGGCTCACTAGAAGCCACACAGACTATCGGGCAGACGGTCTAGAAGGGAGTCAGAACAGGGGAGTCACTTTGAAGCCCAAGGTTGCGCGCACGCCGACACTTCGTCGCTGTGTCCGGAGAACACTCGGCAAAGCACGACGGTCGCTGCTGCCGCACAGGCTAATCGCAGCCCATGCGCATCCATGGTGCGGGAAAAGCTTTGTTCTAATCCCTTAAGTAACTATTAATACTGAGAATTTGACAAATCTATTAATTGTGATAACTACCCGATCACAAAGCGTCTCAGTTAGAAATAACATTGAAATCCCCACTCCTACCGGTTAGGTCTCTACAATGTTTATGTTTTTATTAAGGCGCTGTTGAATTTGATACATTTTGACTGGGTGAGAAAATTACTTACTGAGCACATACTTTCTCAAATATATAGAATAATAGAATAATATTTTGTTAAATATTTTTTCGTACAATTACTTCAACTTAATTGTTTGCGCTACTTATGCTTAAAACACACCATGAATATTCTTTAATCAATAGTGTTATTGTTAGTTACAGTAAATGGAAACAAGCATAATAGAAACGCATATTTTAGCATTCCTGGACGTCAAAACAATACCACGCAATACCTAATGTTCCCTTCAATACCACACAAATAATTATACGACTGTTAGAAAAAAACCGTCATTACTAAAAAATTATCTAACCACGTATAAAAAAGTATTAGTTTTAATTAATAGATTATTTTAAATAATCTCTTTTTCACTGTAAATTATCAACAAATAGAATGTACTCAACTTAATAGAAGATTCAGAAGCATAGAAGAAGCAGAAGATACTTAGAACTACTTAAGAGACAACTCGAGGAAACTAGAGGACTTAAGAGACAACTGGAGGAAAAATAAAAAAAGGTTTGTAAACAAAATAGAAGTAAGAGTGTGTAATGGTAAGAGAGTGTTTTGAGAAAGCTTTTATGTGCATTATTGCATTGCTTCAAAGTATGAGAATCACATTGACATTGTTTATTTTACAGCAACATCGTAAAAACTTACTTTATACATAAAATCTCTCAACTTTGCACTCAGCTATAAAAAATTCTAACTTTCTCAAAATTAACTAACTTGTGAAAATGTAGAATATAATATTTATAGTACGTATCAGTTAACACAATGGTATAGTTGAAATTCAAGTAATATTTATATTGATTTGATAGTGTTCTTACCAGTTAGTCCCCTAATAATAGAATGGAAACATGCCATTAAGAATATCATAGAAGAGTGAAATCCGATTATATATGCATGTTTTAATTGAAATATTTTGAGTCGTTTTTGAGAATATGTCTTGTGAAGGTTGAAAGTCAGATGCAAGTTTCTTTCAGTGCAGACACACTGGCTCTCTTTCAAAATTCTTTCCTTGTTATTTTTCAGCATTTTGGAACACTAAATTACTTATTTTCACACCTACTTCTTCACGTCCAGTTTCAGAAAAACATTCAACTACTTTTAATATTAATAGCTGCTTTTTACAAAAATAATGCACAGTAAATATATTTCACTAATGAAAGAGAAACAAGAGCAGGTAATGTAAATTTCACTAATAGAAACATATTATAATTTGTTGTTGATAGCTCGGGATGAGCTGAAGCTTGAATCAAGCCTTCCTGCAATTGGACACTCAACGCATGAGTAAAAAATTGTCAATTTTACTTTATACATATTTTGAGATTTTCTACGTTTTCGAAAATCGGCACCATAGTAGAATATATAACCCTCTCTTTAACTTGAAAGTGTATTATAAGTGTCGAGCTTTTATAGATTACGAAGAAAAGAAACACTTCTCGGGTTCCATCGCAGAAACCAGAAGCTGGTGTTAGGGACCTAGGGCACACCACTTTCGAGTTTTGCACGGTGGATAGGAACACCGCCATACGCTGTTTTCCCTATATTGTAAACTGCGAAACTATAGACCTTTTGTGTTAAATCTTTTTTAAGCAACTCAGGGTTTGATTTCCTATCCAAAACACGGAGCATACTTGAAGAAGGTGCCAATGGTGTCTTATAATTCCCACAAAACCGTCATATATCCTTATCGTATTACGTTTAGAGGAATTAGAGAGGTTTCTTCCGGTTAACAATGTCAATGAAGATTTTCTGTATCTCTTTTCTTGAGAGATTTTAAAAAGGTATATTTTAACAATGACCTAAAAGTTATTATTGAACATGTTATTAAACCTTTGCAACAATCAATCACTTTTATTGCGTTACTTCATCTTTTAACTATAGAAATGTTATAAGTAGTCCACCAAGACTTTCAAAACCTCTCTTATTTCTGTTTGTTAGTCATAATTGCGATAACTTTTTAACGTAATATTATCTTTATAACTTATTGTGACTATATGTGAGTGTATACTATATAGTATATTATAACTTACAGAACTATAGTATGTGAACGGTCATATGTGAAAATACCCACTTACAAACGTGCTATATTAATTTTTATATATCAATTTACTGTAACAAATACGTTTTATCCAAGCAACTCACCAGAAATATTATTACTCTTGATCGTTTAAAATCTTGTCTATTCAATGTATTGCGCAATAATTGTCAATAATTTCAATCTCAGACTTGATTTTAAAATTATTTCAAAATTATTATTATTGTAACATTTTATCCATTTAACCTCTGATGTGTCTATTTATAAGTTGCTTTAAATAACGTTAGCTTTCCACTAACTACTTACATCTTGTAGATTACATTACATTTAAATTTTTAGGTAACATTAATTTTTAGTACTTTTACTATTTAATACATTACTCTGTATATTTGTGACATGTGGTCAGGCGAAGAGCGGGCCTGATGGCCCGAGCCTCGCCATATTAATAAAGGCATATATATATATAATATAATATAATATATATATATATATATATATATATATATATATATATGCCTTTATATACCGTCGAACGTGAACGTACCATTTCCATACACACATACGTACACTTTCCAATACACATGCACGTCTTTTCTTTAAGGACATATCTCACAGAAATTCCATTTAGAGCATCCATAAATTTCCTCATGAAAATTGAATTTTGGAGTATTCTACGACAATAATAAAGCTTGTAAACAGGAAATAACAGCGTTTACATAGTTCGTGATACCGGACGTTTGGAATATGAATAATGCCTGGACATAGCGTGCGATGTCATACGTGAAAGAGGTAAATGTCATTTCTCGTAGAAATAAATCTTCGTGAGTTGCAATTTACACACAGAAATGATAGCAGGCTAAATATTTTGCAAGCACTGTTAGCAGAGCACCATGCGGCAGATAAATGAATCCACGTTGGTAATGCAAATTTACTACTTTGTAATTAATGAATTGATAATTAATATTACCTATTGCAAACGCGACATCCCCGGCTCTGACCTGCATTGTTTTGTAAGAATTTATCCTATTTAACAACGAGATTTTTTTAGAAATAAATGTCACCTATCTTCTGTAGCACAGGCATGGGAATCTAGCTCCTAAGAACTTTATGTTGTTGCAGGCAAATCCTGTTTTAGCTACACAATGTCATCAAAACACTCAAATTTAATCCGATTCGCAGTATGTCAAATACTTCGGAATTTGTCGCCCCACGTTAGTCTATAACGGATGTGGTTGTGCAATGGTTAGGGCGTTTGCCTTCCAATCTGAGGGGCCCAGAATAAAGTCCCTAAATCGGTGTGATTTCCATCTTAAAAGTTAGTTATCAGGGATATATTTAGGTTCTCTCAATCTTATTTTAATACTTTTCGAAGATTTGTATGCTTCTTTAGCATTAAATAAAGGCATCCATTGTATGTTGAAGTACGTACTCCTCCTTTAACTTAAAGCGCTTTTCGGTGCCCATCGTCCCCCCCCCCCCAAGGTTGTGAATAGCAAACGGTTTCGTGCCGCCTTGGGTTCGAAAATGGCTGTTCTTTACGAGCAATCCACAAAACAAATTAGGTACAGGTAAAGTTTTATTTATTTCATGAGAATTTGTTTTAAAACGTTGATGTTTCTAGACAAATACATTGATCTGAATAAAACATAGAAAGCAAAACATCAATATTATAATATCGACGTTTCTACTAAAAATATAGAGATTTTAAAAACAAACATCGATGGTTTTTTACCATCCCTAATCGTAGTACTACCAATCTCGCCATCCATGTCTCCCCTGCGTTCAAGGGGTTCGTCAGTCCGTGCCGGCCATTGTACATCAGTTGGACAAGAGCAGTTCGTGAGCCTACGGATCGACATCACATTTGTTGCTCACTCGGTATAATCTTTGCTCTCACAAGTAACTGACGGAGAAAAAAAATTAAGACGATATGACGTGGCTTCGGTAATGTAACGGTTAGCGTATCGGTTACACATCAATTTGTTTCCTGTCTGGTTTAACCAGATCAAAGCCGTGGATTTTTAAGGTCGAAAGAATGCTTCGTATGCCTAGCTGGGGAGAGGGGAAAATTTAGCTTGAGCTAATTTTAAAACAAATTCTTTGTTCGTCGCCCGAGTGATACCTTCTTTTTCTGCTTGATCGAATAAGGAGCGAAGCAAAATTTGCGTGATCATGCAGAAGAGCAGGCCTGCTGGCCTAAGCCTCGTCACGTAAAATAAGGCATCATTTATTGAGGTTCAAGGGCGACACGTGGCGTTCTAAGAACGTACGCCATGCCACTACACACAACATCCATGGCTTAGGCGGACTTCAAACTCAAAGCCCGGTGGCTGTGTGTTCTCGGAGTCCCAAGTCTGTGTTTCCTCTACGCAACTGTTCCAAGTCTGTGTCATTCAGGTCTGTTACAAGATAGGGCTTGTTCCTTCCATCTCTATCTATTACACAACATTTCGCTGCATGTGTTAGGCAATCTTTTTTAGCAAGTGCGCGTGTTTGTTTGGTCTCCAGACTCTCCCTTGACATGCTCTTCCAAGGCTTCAAGGGCGGTGCTTCCTCCTCGAGCGGGCAGCCTGTTAACATGCCAGGCGACGCGTGTGTGGAGCGGGCAAGGTGCCGGCCGGCCGCGCAGGCGATAACCACCACGACGCAGCGCACTTCCAAGGGTCACACGACGCGTTGCGGGTCTGCATCGTGCAGGCGCTCGCCCACTTCGGAGAGCACATACCGACATAGTGGATAGGGTATTGGATAGTGTATTAAAATTAGAAAAAACAAGTACCTCGTTTCACGACATTTTGAAAAATGCTAACTAAGAGTTCTCCAAACAATACATTTTTCTAATATCCAAACAACTACTTATAGTAAGTTAATTAGTTTTTCGTGTAGTAAATTAAATATGCTTAAATCCACGAAAACTCTATTAATTTATCACGTACAATTAAAACCCCATAACTATTAATAAGATCTGAGGCAAAAGGTAAAAGTCATGTAATTAAGTCTCTGTGGCTACAACCAAAAAATGCACATCACTTATTTATGGAAAAAAATAACCTGCAACCATGAACAAAAATATTTAATTACAACAATTTAGGTTTATTACTATTTAAAGCACAATATATTAAATTTGAAAATTTTATCATATCTATACATGGATATTAATGTCCGAAAAATCAATAATGTTTTTCACTTGGAACGTCATCTTCAGCATGAATAAGAACAGCCAAACGCATTTTGGTTTGACACTAGTTGGCTAATGAAACAACACTCAATACCTAACACGAATAAATGAAAAGTAAAAACGAAAAAAGTCTTTGAAGTAAGTAAGTAATAGCAAAATAATTAGAAAAAGTAAAATATGAAAAATATAAACGTCAGTGATATTTATTCTTTCTCCACATTATGAAAGCAAAACCTCTTCTGAATCAAAAGTGAACCCTTTTGCAATTTTGAAGAATTATAATTATTCTATTTTCTCTCATAGGAGTCTCCACTTTTGGTAGGAGATAGTATTGTTCTTCATTACTCAGCTTCTAATATTCTAATATTCTATCTGGAATGCGACCAATATCATTTTAATACCGTTTTCTTATCCTCTAAGCCATTATGTCGATCATACTTTCACATTGCAAGGCCCACTAAAAGGGGGTCTCGAAATAAAACTAATAAAATACTGAACGAAACATGTGAATAAAGGGATACAATTGCACACATGATAAATGTGACACCTCGTTGCTATTGCCGCTCGTTTTCTTGAACCAGTGCAATTTATGTTCCCCTGCATCCACTAGTTTCGTTAATTACTATTAACCCCTTTGCATGCCAATTAATGTTTTATTATAATATCTTTATTACATTTTTGAAATTCATTTAGTTGAAAAACTCTTTTTCATTTTTGTTTTTTCAAGAGATGATTGACTTCGGCAGTCGTGTGTCACGCAAAAGCGTCTTGTATTTTGTAACCTTGGTGTAATTAAATTTACATTATGACACGTTTTTAGATACATTTTGGCCTTCTACCAATATCATGTCTGTGTAATTTTGATATCAACTTTCAACTCACCACATCTATCCAAATTAAAAGTGAAATAATACACGTTACAACTTTAATAGCAGCAGATGTGTATAAATACGTGTTGTAAAGTATTTTCATTTTCAAAATATTAACTTCGTGTCTACTATCCATTTGTAAGTTATCTTTCCGTCCCATATCATACGACCCTATTTTAAGTTCATGAAGTTCACTTTCCATTTACAGTCACACATTTTTAGGATGATAATCACTCTATCAATTTTTACGGAGAAGTGCGATTGCAAATATTCAGTTTGTCTTTCGACAACTTTCCTATCCACGATTTCAAATTTCCAGGATTGAAAATAAGTGTATTGTGCGTAAACAAAGTGCAATTAAAAAAAGCAGTCATTTTATAAAGTACTGCATTCGCTTGCAAAGACCAATAAGATAATTGTTAACAAGTGTACAAATTATGAGAGTATTTAAAGATTTTGTATTAATTTTACATCAACATTCATAAATCTTATACACTAGAGCTAGCATGTGGTAAATTCTTCAGGGAGACAAACGCACCGATGAACATACTACTGTAAAAATCTACAATAATGTAGATAAAAACTCTCTTTGGAAGCTAAAAATGTCACATAAGCACGCACAACGGACAGGAGAGTACCTGGGTGAGCTGCAGAAAGGCCAGCTGGATGAGGCAGAAGGCGGAGGTGACGCAGGGGAACCCCACGTCCCACAGGACGGAGCCGATCACCTTGGGCATCGACTGGAACACAAGCAACGCGACTGTGATTAATAGACGCTCGCCGTACGCAACTCAGCACGAGGCGCAATCGACTGTCCCTGTGATTGATTGCAAATGAACACACCTGAACCGCTCGGTTCTGAACATTCCTGATAATTCCATTCCTCAACGTACCTCGTTTCAAGGAAAATCGCTTGTTCGTAGAAAAGAAAAGTTTAAGAAAATATTAAATCTAGCATTTTAAAATTTATCTGTAGGTTCAACCCATTATAAGTAACAATTATAAGTAGTCGTAATGTTACCTGGGAGCATGTAATAAAGCTATTTTTTCAATTTATTCGGCAAGTTTTTCACTTCACGGTGCTTCTTTGTTACTGCTGTTTTGTTGTTTTTGTTACATTTTATTTGATATGAAACATTTTGTTTAAAAACTTACATTATTTATATATACTGTTTAGAAAAGGTTGAAATCTATTAGTTTTACGTAGAATTATTGGGCTAACAAAGAGGTTGTGAAAAAGGAAACAATAAATAGATGAATGAATACATTAATGTGTAAATAAATCTCAATAATCAAAGAAACGAAAACTATCAGTTAAGAATAACAGAAAACTCTGAAGCGCCTTTCTGACAAATTTGCGCAAAAGTCTCACTTTGATAACGATACTCGTATGCTACATTTGAGTATAAAGTTTTCTAATATTTACGATTGAGGTTCTTTTTTCTATTCTTAGGGAATGAATTTGAGGAGTTACGAACGTTGGTAAAGGCCTTTGGGTGACGCGAACATCTTCGCGAGAATGGTTCAGAAGAAAGATCTACATTTAATTTACCAGTGCTGGGACATGATAGTAGGAAGGGGAAAGCGTTGCAAGAGTCTTTCTATCAGTTTGTATGGTCAGTCAATTTGCAGATCTCAACGAATTTTGTCGTTCGTTGCAATACACTGAGCAATTAGTATTTAGCGAAGGACATTGTGTTAAATTCTTGAGCTTTTATAGAAGTTCGTGTGTGTTGTGTCTCCACAGGGAAGTAAGATATTTTTAATTCATTATTTTTTCCATGAAAACTTTCTTTTTGAAAACATTTTTTTCGTGTGTAGTTTATTAATTTCACATTCTGGTATCCATTCTATGTATACACGAAGTAACATACATGCGTAAAATGGATTCCAAAATTTTAAAGGATGTATGTATATGTTTTGGGGTCCTCTTGATACAAAGTATTTTTTTAAAACGTCCATATGTTTATTAATCCTTAGATCTCTTTGTTCTCCGATCGTTTGTTAGTTCGTCCGTTCGTTTGTTCTTTCGTTTGTTTGTCCTTCCGCCTGCTTGTCCGTCCGTCTGTTTGCCTGTCCGTCCGATCGTTCGTCGTCCAACTGTTCGTACAGACGAGTGTTCGTCCGTCCGACTCTTTGTCCCTCCGTTTGTTCAGTCGTTCATTGGTCTGACCGTACGTCCGTCTGTCTGCCCACCCGTTAGTCTGACCCTCTGTCCGTCCGTCATATTACTGAGCCATATAATTGAGTACTTAAGTTATAATCTATACTCACGCTTGTAGAAATTACACTTCTCTTATAATAAAAATGAACATACCATTACAAACAAAACACAACATTACATCTCACGTTGCTGGCTTGTTGGGACACATTTTGTTTTACACAAAAGGCTACTTCACACGACACTCCACAATCTATTTCAGCGTTTGAATGAGACTCAACCAACCGGGACGGGAGCAAATGGTCAAGAGACGAATGGAGAGAGCACTTAATCTTGCGTCCGAGCGCGGCCCTGCATCGTGGACGAGCTGTCCGATGGACCGGCGCCACAAAGGACGACATCTCTTCAATTGAACGCCACGCCCACGCCGGCTCCGCCCCGATCACCTGTCACTGCGTCGCGCGCGCGGCGGTCCTCGCAGCGGCGGCAATCCACGGCCTAATGCGGCGAGCTGTTATCAGCGCCCGCGTGACTGGAGGCTGCGCGCGGACGACAGGGTGGGGTGTGCTCGGCACGCTGGGGGCGGTGGACTGGGTAAATTTGAAACTTCCCTTCCGCTGATAGGTTTTACTACCCACTCACCCTCGCATTTTTGTATCAAAATCTGAAACCTCAATGCAGTACTTTCTTGTTGTAACATTCATTTACATCGATGTTAATGAATTTTGTAGTTCTAATAGATAAAAGTGAAGTATTTACTAAACTTTATATCATAATATATATGGGTTGTAATTTGTTAATTTTTTTAATCTCTTTTCCTTGAAACTGGTCCCCTGATCGCTCTCGTGTATTTCCTAGGTAATTTAGTTTTTGATAACACTTATGCATTTGATGCACCTCTAAGCACCCGAAAAATCCGCTCGTATTCCTATCCTTCGTCGGTATTAGGAGAGACAGTGGTTGGCAGTACAGCGTGTGAACGGCAGTATACATAATATGAGAACAAAGGGGTTCTAGTTCAGTTAAGTTTGAATTACGCGTAGCTCTTATGAAATTTGCTTTCTTCAAAATTAACTTCTAGTTTCAAAAATGAAAGTATGAAAGAAAATATCCCTTGCCGGCATGTTCCATAGTAGTTACCGCTTTGCCAAAATACAGCTCTCGGTGCAACAAGTTACACCTCCACTAGCCTGTCAACGCTTTAAGTTACTGATTAATCTGTGTTTCCGACCCCGACAAGTGCCAAGGTCATAGTCCCGTAAATATACGAATCTCTGGAGGTGGCGGTGATCTTGATGGTGAGATAGGGTCCCGACGCACCGTCGGCTATCCTAACCAAGTATCTCCCACCAGCGGGGCACCGCCCAGCCGGTACAAGCTCTGAGCTCCTGACGGGACTTGTGTGGTCGTGTAGTGGATGTAAGCCCGTGCAAGTAATGGGCCAGAATAGGACACGGAAGACAAAGCACGCCGGGGACGTTTGACAGGGCACTGCTGCGGCGTTCGCCTTGGGGCGAGCGGAGACCCCACGCCGCATTACCGATCAGGGCTGCCGGCGTCTACGATGCTGAATGAGACCTAGATACGTAGCTCGTGTCGCAAATTCTGTCTCTTTTGGACTCGAATCCTAGGACCTCCCGGTCAGAGGCTGCACCTAGTCCGGTCTCAACTCTTTGAATTAGCTGTAGGTGCAGTCAGTTAAGGTTGTCTAAAACCTCATTAGTTGGAACAGTGACTTAGAAAACCATCGTTCTTCAGTGTGGCAAAAATGTTTCGTAATTGAACTTGCAGTGTCTAATGAGGTGTGCGCGTCCCATGCGTTCGCTTAAATGCTTCACAGGCGCCAAACAATCCGGAAAACAGACTAGGGGTCAGCGGTAAAACGTTAGAAAATGAGAAACATTCTTTGCTTCTGTTGTAGCATATCAAGCGCCGTTTTCAAGATGAGGCATTTCGCAACATGAAAATTCAAAACTCACTAGCACCTCTAGGGTCATTAAAACACGAAAATATAAGGCAAACATGTGTTGCGACTGATAAATTATATTTGATTCCTTCCATGCATGTTGAATACTCTTAAGACATTTCCACATGTTTACATTCATACATTTTCATTTACATGTATGGAACGGAAATGGACACATTACTATTTTACTGCCATGTTTTATTCCCAAGAAGCACGAACGAGGGCACTACCCATCTTAAAAACATCTGCCCTTTCCTATTCTCCGTGAGAAAGGCCGGCGGAAGGACGGCGAAGATATGGAAGTCGTAAAACCGAGACCCGTAAAAGTGTCCCCGGTCGGTGCGTTTTGCGAGAATTAACTTCCTGCGACTTGAGTTATCGACTTGCACATCGACATCCAATGCCAATCGATCGACGGCGTGAAGTTGACAAGATACATCAGAGTTACGGCCCTGTATACTATTTGCTAGTACGTCCTCAAAGTGCTTGCTTTCGCTTACGTTCGGGTCGTTAACATCAGAGTAATTCGATGTGGTTCTCGTTTAATGGATTCTCTCTTTCAGGGTAAACGGCACCGAGAAAAAACTTGAGAGATAGAAATGAGGACAAAAATACATGAATGAAAGAGAATCAACGAGGTGAATGAGACAATGAATATTTATTTCACAAAACGGTAATACTAATATTTGAACGCAATGACGTGGCAACTATACACTCAAGTCAGCGACCTAAATTACAAGTACCACCTCTCAGTCTTTTTCATGCAAATAACTTGCGTTCACTTCCGCTGAACGTCAGATTTACGGAGTTTAAATATTCATTTGTAACGTTTTTAGATTCAAATAGAGGTGCACATACGGATACGTTTGTGTTTCTATTTAAATTATATTTCCATATTTTGTTGACCAAACATTGTTTTGCTGTCTCACATGTGTAGGAAAGTTACAGGTCAGTTGCGCCATGCATTGACACGTACTACATCGGCATGCATCGACATGTCGACTCTCTCTGGCTTCAAGAAAATGACAGACGATTATTTCTGAAATAATATTATCCTCAAACGTAAGAGATACATCAAAGGAATACAAGGGGAGAGAGGGATAGAGAAGTGAAGTGTAAGAGAGAAGGAAAACATAAGGGGGCGAAGAAGTGACGAGAAAAGTAAAATAAGAATGGAAAAGAATAAAACGAAAACAGGAAAAGGGGTGAACGAATTATGGTAAGATGATAAAATGAAGACAGACATGGTAAAAAAAGCAGTTAGGGAAAGAAAGTAGCAAGATAGAAAAAGAAAAAAATAGTAAAAGAAAGAAGAAAATGTGAAGAAAGAACATGTTAAAAAGATAATAAGAATGAGCAAAAATATATGAAAAATAAAAATAAAAGTAGGAAGATGGGAAAAAGGCAAACGAAAGAGATAATAAAGAGAAAGACAAACAAGAAATAATAATACAAAAGAAGAAAAACAATAAATAGTGTGAACAATAATGAAAAAATGAAGTTAAACAGTAACTAAGACGAAAAGAGTAAAAAGATATGTTGAAACGAAAAGAAGAAAAATAATGAAGAAAGGAAATGGATAACAAGCTGAAAAAGAGCTGCGGGTAAAAGAGACGAAAACGAAGAAACGCCGAATTACTACAAAACACATTCGACAACTACATCAACGAGAAGGAAAAGCGAGGGAATAAGAAAGCGCGCCTCAGCCGGCAGCTGTCTCGCGATTCTCAGCAGCGGCGGCGGTCCCGGCCAGCGTCGTTCAGCCCGCAGCGCTCGCGGGCAAAGCTGCGGAAGCCGATCGGGGCAGGGGCGCGACATCGCGAGAGAGAAGAAAGATATGGCCCAAAACAAGAAAGATAGGGCAAAATAAGAAGCGAGAAGAAGAGAAGGAAAAGAGTTGAATTACCCGGTATAAAGCCAAATGAAGTCTGTTGGCGGCCGTCGCTCGGAGGCAAAGCCGCGGAAGGCGATTGGAGGGCGGCGGCGGCGGCGGCGGCGAGGGCAGCGGAGATGGCAGCCACTGGCTTCTGCGAGGGCGTCCACGGAATCGCGTCACACGCGCCGCCAGCACTGCCACTGCCGCCCCCGCTCCCGTCCCCGCCACCCCCGCTTCTTCACCTCCCCGCCCGCTCCCGCGACGGCTCCCACTCCCTCCCCGCCGTCCCAACCCCACCTCCTCGCCACCCCGTCTCCCGGCCGCCGCCGCTCCCAGCTCAGGCACTACATCTGCCGCCACCGCCTCCGGCTGCAGCCCACAACAGAGCACGCGGAGGAGAGAGCACCAGAGGCAGAACGTCGGAGGAGAGGGAGGGAGGGCGGGAGGAGCAAGGGGAGGGGCAGCCACGATTTGGCGCCAGGGAATCTGTATTCAAGCTAATGGAGCTTTGATTCAAGAGCCTTGCAGCGATGTCTAGTACAGACCTCGAGTATAATTCACGCTCCTCCTCAGGATATTTGTGGCGAAGTGAACTCGGTGATGAAGCAGATTGGAAGTGAAATGAACAGAAGGATAAATTATTGAGATGAAGTGAAGAGAGTAATTTCTGAAAGTAATTATTTCTTTTCAATGTAAAGAGTTAAGAGCACCATGGTGGAAAAGTCAAAGAAAGAAAATGAGATTCAGTTTGTATGAATCACCTGAAATAGCAGACCAAAACTGAAGTGAAATGTATTTTTTTTATTTCAGTGATTAACAGTAATAACATTGTTGCAAGTGTTATCCAGGAAGAAAATAAGAGCTAGTTGAAGCAATAAGTGATGGCTAGAAATATTGATCCAGGGAGCTTTTAATGAGATTAGAGAAGAGTCAAGCGACAGTAGCTTTTGGTTTTATTTTCGAGTTTTAGATATCGTCGTGAATATTTTCATAATGTTGCAACATTTCTTTAGACTATTTCCAATACCTGCCTGAAAGACAACAGCATTGGGAGAAAACTGAGAATGTTGCATTGAAATGTACTTTTAAAGAAAAAGAACACAATTTTTTAAATCTCTGCACAATCGGCGTTTTCCTGTTTGCTTCACGGTTTTTCGTTTTTTCGTCACTTCTTTTGGCGTTGATACTGACGCACTATGTACTGAAAATGTCTACGGAACATCACGACAAAGAAACTGTTTCAAAATAAATACTAACTTTAGACATACAAATAATTCTATTCCTGGTGAAACACACGAGCTAGTTCGAGTTCCTGAATTTTCCTATTCTTCTCACTCTTTGTATAGACAGATCTTAACTTCATTACCAGGGTGAAGGGTGTTTCAACAACAGCTTCAAGAACTAAGAACTGAGCAGTACCATAAAGTTTAAAACGTTGCTTTTGCTGTTTTTTGTTTTGTTTCGACAGCTACTGTTAGTGTTCCGAGTACTTACAAACAAGTTAGTAACTTTGTTTTATTACTAGACTATACGAACGTAAAGAAGGGAAACGTGTTTGTTTGTAGATCTTGTGTTGGTTCATTCGCAATTGACCGGTTGTGTTCGTCAAGTCAGAGTGTCATGTGATTGCCATGCGAGGCTTTTACTATGCTATGCGTGGGTTAACATTTTTAATTTCAAAAATTATTTTGATTTAAAGAAAATCAAAAAATGGGATTGTTGCCTGTATGTCTAGTAAAAAGTTGCTCATATTTTGGCATTTACATTTTATCGGGCACTATGCTTTGCATATTATGCATACTTTGCATTTTATCGGGTACATAAAAAAAAGCTTCAGCTCACCATCGTACATATATGCCATAGAGAGTAGTTAGATCTTTTATTTCTCTTTCGAACGGTATATTACTTTTTTTAATTAATTATGAGATATATTTATTTGAGTCACAAGTCGGCGGCAGTTTGTGCATTAATTAAGAAATAACAACAATAGACTAATAATATTATCAACATTAAGCACTGTGACAATAATAATAACTGAAGTAATGATAAGGCAATAAAAGGCAACGATAAAACGAATAACTAGTCGCAAGTATTATAAATTTGAAGTTAGATTATCACACTAAAACGAAGTACTATTCTTTGTTAGCACTTATCACGTCACATTTCCCAAAACTACGTAATGCTTACTTTACCGCATTGCTGCATTACCTTGCAACTAGAACAAAATATCACTAAACGGAAGCAAATGTACAGCCACACAACCCCTGATAGCAAAACAACGGATGATGGCGGACCGGTTAGCTGACAAGGAGATGCACTTCCGTCGAAATCGCGACCTGTGCCAAACTCCTTTCTAGGCTGCCCGCTTCTGCTTATCAGTTGACGTGGTCGGGCCCGGAGCGCGTGGCCGAAAGGAGCAGAGGTCGTGGTTAGCTGACGAGGCGAACGAGAGGGGGAGGGGGAGGGGAGGGGAGATGCACGGGCGATGCAGCTTGCGATGTCGACCTTGGCGGCGACGTTCCCCGCACCAGAGGAGAGGGAAGCTTCTACGGCAATAATCGATAACCTACTGGGGATAATCTTCATCAAAGCTAAGGCGTTGAGTATTTTCTGAATTCTTCACATTAAAAAGAAATTAATATTCTGGTATGATGATTTGATCAATATTTACAAGTGAAAATGGATTTTGAAAAGAATTATCATAAATTCAGATGATTTTGTACACCTAACTTTATGTCTGCTTCAACATAAATGTACTTAATGTATATAAATTGTATTCTTATTGAAGTATATCAATTATTTCTAAAAAAACAGCTCGTTATTTCATTAACGAACACCAGTTTGAAGGGGAAATCAATCATTGGTTCGTACTGCTACATACAATAGGCCGAAACAAAACTTATTTCTTTGCATACTTCTTATTGTTTCCTACATTAAAATGTATTTGAATACCTAAGAAATATTTTTTCATATTTACTGTTGTTTTCAAGCACTTGTGAATTCCGTAGAAAATATATTTGAAATATTTCCGATTCTCTCGCTATTAAACGAACTTTATTAGAGGAATGCATGGTGTAAAGAGGAGGAGCAGCTGAGGAGAGACGAGGAGGATAAAGCGGACCAAACGCCAAGAGGTGAGGGACGGACGGCCCCTCCGGCGCCCGAGGCGGCAGCGCGGGGCGACAACAGGCCAAGTGCGAGTGCGAAGCGGCTGAGGGCTCCACGCCGCAATTAGGAGGCCCGCCGCTGCCGCGCGAGCGAGGGCGAGGGACGACAGACACACGGACGGGGCGTGGGTGCAGGGAGGGTCGGGCCGGCGGCGCGGACACGGTAGAGGGAAGGAGGCGATGGAAGGATTTTGGAGGAGGAAAGGCAGGCAGGGCGTTGGGCGGAATATGGAGGCGGAGGCATAATTAGATGGGGCAGAGGTGAGGCGGAGGCGTGGAGGAGGCGAAGGGAGGAGGGGGCAGGGGGCGGAGGGCGTTGACGGAGCAAAGTGAGAGGGGGCGGCGGGGCTTGAAGGCGGAGGAGGGGCGGCAGCAGGGAGGAGGCGGAACGAACGCGGGACGGATGTGTGGCGGAGGCGAGGCGGGCCGAAGCGGGGCGGAGACGGCGAATCGGTGCGAAGAAGGAAGCGCGGAGGCATTGAGAAGGTGGGGAGGTAGAGTACCATATCTGTACGGTGTCAGGGTGGAGACAATATGGGAACAGCAGGGCGGTGGCGGCTTAGAGGGTTGGAGGTGACGGTAGTCAGGGAGGGACTTTGGGAAGGGCGCCAACTGGGCGTGGGCGGGAGCGCGAACCTTCGGGGGCAGAGCAAGATGGAAGTGAGTGCAGACTGCTAGAGGCACATCAGAGTCGGTAGCGACAGAGTGGAGATCTTAGCAAGAGCGAGGCAAATCGAAGACGATATTGAAGGTGTTTGTCATGTATGTGTGTGTGTGTAAAAGGGACGTATGCTGTAGCGGCAAAAAGCACGCGCGTGACTGCATCGTGTAGCGAGTTTTACCACTAAGGTGACATAGAGCTCAGGAAATGTCCGTAAGAAGCTAGCAGAGGAAAAATTACTTTCTTTGAAGATAAACTAGTAGAGGTACTACAGTGCACTTTACCATAAACCAGAAAAGTATACTTTGCAGACTGCAGAACCTCTCACCAGTTTCATTTACAGATTCTAAGACACTGTAAGAAGTGAATTAAGAGTAACGGTTTAAACGTGTTTGTCCTGGAGTTAAGTTAAAGGTTAGTTAAAGGCGTGAACTAAAAGTTTTTTTATATACTAAGTTCCTCGGCAGTTAAATGTCACTTAAAGGGGAGAAAGTGCTTGGATCCAAGAATCTTCTTCACATAAAGGTCAGTTAAAGAAGACACTGGCTATGGTATTCAAGAGTAGGTTTCTTGCCTTACTAATTTTGGAATTTAAACTTTGCTTTACCTTGAATATAATATAGTATTTTCTTGTAAATTATTAAATAAAACTTCCTTATATTGGAAACTTTCTGTTCTTATCTTAACTTCCTTCACGGCTATAACAATACACATGTATATTATGATATGGCATTTCCCCTAGTGATATGGTTTTTGTTGCAAGTTCTCATGTTAAGCTTCGTACACAAGGAGGTCCTGTAGCCGAGGTTAACGGAGGTTGGGTTTTTAGTCTCCACTAGTATCTAAGACGAAGTGTGCTATTGAGAGTTTTCTTGCCGACACACAGTTTCATCTGATCAATTGCAGGTGAATTCTGAAGCAGTAATATAAATTCACAGGGCAAGAAACTGTGCGAGATTTTCCCTTCCCCGTTCAGTACTCATTCTCATTCTTCCGGACCGGTGGTAGGATTCCGATCAACGCCAGGCGAATGCCGGAGCAGTACCCTACCAAACGGACGATGGAGCGCGCGCTATCTTTCCTTCCCATTCCTTGTCCTATCCTTGCCCCTTCACAGTTACACATGCATGCACTACTCTACCAAATATGTCGGAGATCTGCCGAGAGCTTAGAACGTGACGCAGCTGGGGCGGCGCCTATTGGCTGAGGAAACCTCCGCTATACGACATACAGGTCGGCACTGAGTCCCATCCTCCAGCGAGGAAGTATCACCGCCCCCTCCCGCGGTAAAACATGCCCAACACATACGGGAGTAATGACAGCTGGAAACACTAATCAGTCAATCATCTTTCTGGACGAACTAATAACATTGCCTTTTCCCCTGATGAACGATGTGATTCTTCACCCTGATGAGGGCAACCAAAACTCACTCTCAGTAACTACGTAGAATTAAATTTTTTCCATAGTTCACACATTCATTACGCTGTAAGCTATGCACTTCTCCCTCGGGCCATTTATTTCAGAGATAACGTGTACAGAGTGTGGAATGGCACGCATACAAGTACTTGAAACATAAAAGCTGCTCTTGGTATCGTACTTCATGGGTTTTCCCATTCCTTCTGTCTCGTGAATTTGCTGTAGACTGATTGACACCTGCGTGGATATATCTACAAGAATCACCAACATTGTGGTGTAGCATGTGCTTTTGATTAAAAGAGAGAAACATAAGGATCTAGCAAGATGTTTATTAATGTTTTGTCACCAATTTCTTTGAAGTGTTAATCTCTTTTACGTATTTAGCATTGTTAGTCCTTGCTTTAAATTAATTGTGATCCAAAAGAAATGAGTCGTTATGAGAAGAAAAGCAATGTTGGATTGTGTAATTAGTTACATAATGTTGTACTATGACACTCTTGTTCATTTTCAGTATATATTGTTAAACCACATGAGTTATATCGGTTTCTTGTTGCCTTGAAGTCTGTTTGACTGTGGTATCAACGACAATACTTTCATATCTGAATTACTATACATGATTTAAAATATTATGAATTCTACCGCCGAGAGATACACACCTCTCACCCTGACAAACCAGGAGAGGTGACCCAGGGCATTAACTGATGTCACTGCAGTGCCTTTGAGCGGGAGGTCCTAGTTCGAGTCCCGATGGGTCGAGGATTTTCGACACTAGCTTGTCAGCTTGGTCGCATCCAGTCGCTGTTTGGAGAAGTCTAGAGGTCGGCTGCTCTGATCGGTAGCTTTCCGTGGTTTCTCCGATCAACACCAGGCGAACGCCTGAGCAGTACCCAAGCAAACAGATCGCGCGCGATCTTTCCTACCTCTTCCTTGTCCTATCCTCATCCCTTACACACACCTACACTACTACGCACTACACTACCACACATGCCGGGAGGCCGGTGCCCCGCTAGAAGGAGATACCT